TTACTCGGAATCCAGCTGGTAGGTGAGGCGGAGCTCGGCGCTGCAGTCGGTGGGGCCGCCCATCCTCCACTCACAGGTGGAGGTGCTGAGGTAGTCGGAGAAGCAGGTGGGCCCATCCCGGACCTGAACACTCCCTGGGGAGACACAGGAGCGCTCTGAGCAGCCGCAGCCCAACAAGCAAGAGGGCCATGGGCCACCGGGAAGGTCGGAAACCAGCCTGAACAGGACCCAGGGGCCCAGCACAAAGCAAGGGAACCACCGCCCCGGGACCGCTCCTGTGCCGTCTCCACAGAGCGTCCAGCTGCACTGAGGCCATCCTGAAGCTGAAGAAGGGCCCTGGGGTGCGGGCCCACTGAGGGGACACCCCAATGACCTTTACGTGCTGCAGCTCACTTATTTGCTTTTGGCCAAATTAAAGGGAAACACGTGGCGGTGCGAGGAGGGAGACCCGCCAGCAGCACCTGCCCTGCAGCGCCTGTGGGAGGCATTATTCCTGCGCCGCTCCCGCCCCACCCACTCCACCCCGCTGAGCTCAGGAGGCTGATCCCCAAGGTCTGTCACCCAGGTGCCCTTGGCCGCTGGCTCCTTGTTGGGTTTGGCCAATATCAAAGGGCAGGATGAGAGGGCGGGGTGCTTCATCCAGCCGGTCAGCGGCAGAGCTGGCTTTGAACCCGGCAGATTTCAAAAGCCCGGAGTGAGAGCCAGGCAACACCTGTCCCAAGAGATGCGTCTTGGAAAACATCCCACGGCCTGAGCTTGAGTCCCCTCGGACTTCTGGGAGTTCCTATGCACATCGGGTTTGCCCACCGTCCAAGCTCCATCACCCAGCTCTAGACCGCCCAGCCCTGGCCAGCAGGCATCGCGCTCCAGTGGCCGCACCGGCCCATCACCGCGGCCCTCCATTTGCACTGGTTCTCTGGATAGAGGGCTCCCGTGTTAAGGAGAGTCGGGGGTATCTAGTCAACATATCAGACTCTCCGCATCCGATTCCCCGCTCCCCAAAGCCCAGATCCCTCTGCATCTCAGAAATGATACCGCGCCCTTCCTGCCTGCTCAGGTCAGAGCTCTCAGCGTCACCCCGACCCTGCTCCCGCCCCGCATTCCAATCTCTCTTCAAATCTCTCTCCCAGAAGGGTCCAGAAGCCAGTACCCTCCATCTCCTCTGCTGGGCCACGCCACCCGGCCTCCCCCTGGCCTCCTGGCCTCCACCCTCGTGCTTACAGACAAAGGGATCCCTTTTAGTGTCAAGGTCATGTCGCTCCTGTGCTCAAACCCTGCCAGGTCCTTCCTGACTTGGCCACCTGCCTCCGGCCCCACCCCAGCCTCCCCTGGTCCCTCCAGCTCTCCAGGCAGGCTCTCGGCTCCGGCCTCCACTGAGGTCTGCCCGCAGGTGTCTGCACGCTCCCCCTCCTTCAAGTCTTTGCTTGAGCGCCTGTCACTCAGGAGGACCTCCCTGAGCACGTGTTTTAAATTGCAATCCTCCACTTGAGCCCGCTGTCCTAGTCCTCCCTGCTCTGCCCTATATCGTCTTTCCCCACCACCTTCTGACAATCCTAGAATTAGCTTATAATTAGGGCCATCTGTCATTGGCTGTCTCCTCCCACTACAGCGAAATCTCTAAGGCCAGGGATCTTTGTTTTGTTCAGTGATTGAGCCTGGCAGGTAGACAGTCAATACATGTTTGCTGAATGAATGAATGAATGAATGAATGAATGAGAGGTGGTGACTTACCAGAGCCTGCCGCCCACACCAGGATCAGGCAGCTCACAGGGAACGTGAGCCCAGAGCCAAGCCACCCCATCGGGAGGTCCTAAGGCACCTGCTGAGAGAAGGTGAGCCAGGTGAGTGCTGACTCGTGGTCCCCACCACCCCAATCATCCCGCGTGCAGCCTTCAGAACTCACCTTACTCCAGACACGACCGCCCCCCACCCTGGCCATTTGTGTCTCGGCAACAGTGAGCCCTCCCTGTTCATCAGAGATCTGTTCACATCATGAAACCCAACCCAGATGCACAGAGCCCCGCGTGAGAGCCAGGAACACCTGTCCCGAGAGATGCTTCTTGGAAAAAAATCCCTAAGTTTGAGCACCCTCAGGCGTTTGGAAGTTCACAATGCACATGTGCACATAAAGGCTCTGATAAGTCCTGCAACAAGGAAACTTACTTTTCTTCACTTAACTAACACTTACCAAATTTATCTACCCAACCTTCATTTGTGTGTGTGCGTGTCAAACCCCCAATTAATCCTCCAAAGGACTTACAATTCCTTGAAATAGTTTGGAAATTCTAACCCGACTGTCCAACCTTACAGAGTTGGTTAAATAAATGATGGTATACCCATGCAACGAAGTATTTGGCAGCCACTAAAAATGATGCTGTCGAATTAGTGTTAGTCTGACTACATTAATGGCCTCAATTCTTCACTCCTGTGTCCGTGTAACCTTGCAGTGCCCCACCCCCACCCCCACCGCTCTGGGCAGGGCGTTCTCCCTGCATTTGGACTCTGGGCTCGCCATGTGACCGGCTTTGGCCAGCAGAGTATTAGCCAGAGTGAGGCAGGCACAGGCCTGCTTTGCACAACCACTGCCTGGAGAACGTGCCTGGCCTCGCCTGTTGGAGGATGGTGACGGGCCAGTCCCAGCAGTCTCCCTCCGCACTGGCAACGGGCGGCTGCCCAGCCCTGTGGTGACCTCCACCTCCGCAGGCCTGGCAGCTGACCCGCGCTGACCTCAGGGGCATGAGCGAGCCCACGAGGTCAGGCCAGCCAGATGGCTGCGCCCACACGCTCGAGCTAGGAGTCCCTTACACGGCCCCGAGGCTTTGTGCCTGCTCCTCACACAGCACATTACCCGCTGCCCGACTTCTAACCCCACAGAGGGTTATAGCAGTGAAAGCATGTACCACCCTCATTGTGTTAACGACATCCCACAAGACGTAACTGGGGAATAAAGACTAGAAGGTACAGACACCCAAAGAGAAAACACAGTTCGAATCCCCCAAATCACAAGCCCAGCAATACCCCACTCACATGTTAGGATCGATTCTCTCTTTGCTGCTATGGATACAGGGAGGTAAATGTGAAATTCATTTACCAAAATAGCAGCACCGTCTACACATGAAAACTTGCGTCTTAAACTCACTGCATCATTAACATCACTCCACGCCACAACGTTCAGATGCAAAGCCTCAGGTCAGTGGTGGCCCACGGTGCGGTGTGCCTGGCACTGGGCTGAGCCTTACTTACTCTGTTACTTTGTTCCGCACAGGCCGTGTCTGCCCGTCCCCGGGGACCTCACCACACGTTTCTCCGATCATCTCCTTAAGTCCCGCACCTGCTCGCCATGCGCTCCTGTGAGCCCTCCGACCTCAGTCGCCAGTGGTTTCCTGAGGACGATGCTCAGAAGCAGAATCCCATCGGGCCACCAGCGTCACCCCCGGCACTCCCAGCACCTCATGCCGAGGTGGGGGGGGGGAGGAAGGTCGCCAGTGGTTTCCTGCGGACGATGCTCAGAAGCAGAACCCCATCGGGCCACCAGCGTCACCCCCGGCACTCCCGGCACCTCATGCCGAACGTCCCCTACAAAGCACTGTCTTGGGCTGTATCCGGGCAGTGCTGACAGCGCCCACCCGCGGTCCCGTGGGTCTCTATCTTGGGGTCATGTCCAGAGAGGCGGCTGCCAGGCCTCCTCCTGCCACTCGGTAGCCATGTGCTGCCCAGTCACTGTCTCTGGGCTCCGGCCGCTCTACCTGCACCGGGAGTGACGGGTGAAGCTCCCAGGTGCCCTGCACAGAGGAGGCGGCCCTAACGCACTCTGCCGTGTCGGGAGCACGGTGGGGGCTGGAGCCACAGCAGAAGCCCCAGCCCCTGCGGAAAGCTCCGGGGGCTTCATCCCCCGTGAAGGCTCTGCCAGCGCCGCCTCCCTCCCCCAGCCCAGCAGCTGTGCACCTGGCTCCTGCCACCTGCTGGCCTCCACTCCCGCTGCTCCTCCAGCACACCCCACTCAGGCCCACCCCACCCTCTCCTCTCCCGTCCTTCCATTCATTTCCCTCCCTCAGCCTCTCTCTCTTATTTATTTATTCACAGGGATAAATTGCCCCCTCGATACTCCAGGGTAGATTTCAGGGAAACAAGGACATTCTCTGATAACCACAACGCAACCAGCAAAGTCAGGAAATTACACGGACGCACGACGCAATCCAATCCGCTGACCCTACTTCCATTTTGCTAGCGGCCTCCACAGCGCCCTTCGTCCGCCCAGGACCCAGCCGGGCATCGGATCACCATGCGTCCGGCGCCCAGGTCATGGCTTCTAAATCCTACTCTGCTTTGAAAGGAACCAGCGCCCCTTGGGGAAATTCTGGCTCCAGGGGCAGGGAGGTGCCCGCCTGGACTGTCGCTGTGCCAGGAAGGAAGAGCTCAGGAATGCTGGGGACACGGTGAAGGGCAGGAGTCAGCTGGAACGGTGCCCACTGGCCCACATGGGCACAACGGAAGCATCACAATGACATTATATAAACCAGCTGTAGCCCCAGGAGTTAGAGCAGGGGTGCAGGAGTCTGCAGTGACAGGTCACAAGTCAGGGAGCAGGGACAGCTCTCATCACCATGGCAGCCTCTAGCTCCCCACCAACCTCATGTTAGTTATTTACTAATTAATGAGTCAAATAGCATTATAATTTTACATAATCTATATATATAATTGTGCATAACTTTACACACAGAAGCCTGGAAGACACCACCTTCACCACGTGGTCAGAGTTAGCATCGCCCGGAGCGGACCGAGCAAGGCCACGGCTTTCTGCCCCAAGAGGAAAGGACGGGGCTCTCGGGGTTCCTGCCCCGAATTCACAAACCTGCAGAGGCTCAGACAGGCCGGAGCTGAGGGCGCCGGGGAGGAACTGGCCCGTCCCCACGGGGGCGAAGGGCAAGGAGCGTGTGCGAGAGAGAGACCGTTCTTTCCAGCATGTGCCGTCCACCCCGAGGGCCGCGGTGGCCTCGTTCACTGCCGGGCCCAGTGCCGCGTCGGTGGCGGGCACGCAGCACGTGCTGAGTAAAGTCCCTGGAGAGACATGCAGCAGAAGCATGACCGTACGGGGTCTGCCCGAGACCCTGCGAGATGGGCTGTGATCCCCACTTTCCACCCAAGGAACCGAGGCCAGAGGTCAAACAACTTGCCCATCAGGTCCCACCGCTAATGAGAGGGCAGAGCTAGAGCCAGGACCCAGGTCTGTTGGCTTCCGAGCCCAAGGCACCTTCCAATGTATCAACGCCTTCAACGTCTCCTCCCAGAACCGCAGGCTGAACCCAACGAGATGAATGAAATGAGCCAGAAAGAGCTGGCCATCCTGCTTGTCAATTTCAAACATCGGCCGCCCGCGCACAGGACCAGGAGGGCTGACTGAGCAGCAGAAGAAGCCGAGGATTTGTACTGTCTACAAACCCCCATGGGCCAGAGGTGAAGCAGCAACTTAAACAAACAAAAACACCAACTAACGCCATGTTAACAGAGACGTGAGAGCCAGGACAAGGGAGGGGACAGTGCCCACACACACCTGTGCTTCCCTGTGGAAGAAACGCCGCCGACCTGAAGCTTGTTGAGGATGACAACTGGCACAGAGAGGGCCCCGAGCCCCGGGGGGCAGGTCTGTGCCTGAAGGCTCCGCCCTCCTATGTCCTGCAGCCTCATCATCCACTTAACATGCCATATGTACCACATCCCTCTACACCAGCGGTTCTCAACCTGTGGTCACGACCCCTTTGGCGGTCAAACGACCTTTTCACGGGGTTTGCCTAAGACCATCCTGCATATCAGATATTTACATAACGATTCATAACAGTAGCAACATTACAGTTATGAAGTAGCAACGAAAATAATTTTATGGTTGGGTCACAACATGAGGAACTGTATTTAAAGGGCCAGATGGTTGAGAACCACTGGTCTAGGAACTTAGTTCCAGGAGGTCCCTGGCCTTTGGATGCGGGTCGATTGTGAAGGTGATTGAGAGGGAGATTTTTAGAGAGAGTAGAAGGGAGGGGGAGAGACAGAGAGAAACATCGATGTGAGACACATCGATTGGTTGCCTCCCACAGGATCCCCGACCAGGGACGGGATCAAGCCTACAACCGAGGTGCCTGCCTTTGACCAGAATCGAACCCACGACCCTTCAGTTTGCAGGCCAGTGGTCTATCCACTGAGCCAAACCAGCTAGGGCTCTCTCTACACATTTCAGTCATATTAATTCATTCAACACTCAAAACAGCCCCAGGAAGTGGGTGCTATTATTCCCCATTTTCCGAGGAGGAACCAAGGCACAGAGCGGTGCTAGCGACTGGCCTGGCTGCAGGTGGCAGCCTGGATGTGAGCAGGGCGCTCAGGCCCCAGGGCCCCCGAGCTCAGCCTCTCGCTCTGTCCTCTATGTCCTGGGGACCATGGGCCCGTCTGAACATGGGTGCAAACTCCAACCCCTCTTTCTAGACAAGTGAAGACCTTTAGCTTTGCCTTCCACTTTAGGGGTCCACAGATCCCTGAGCCCAGGGAGGACTCCAGGTCAGAGGCCCCTCCTCTGGGCAATGAGCAGATTGGAGGGTCTTTGAACAGGGTTGTGGCAGGACCTTCCTCAGCCCAGAGTGGGGCCGAGAGAATAACGGGATGCGGACTAAAACAGACCTGGGTCACCCCAGCCTTCTCCATGCCGCTGGCACCCAGGCCACGGACTGCCCGCTCACGTCCCTCCCTGGCCTCGGCTCCTGGAGGTGTCTTCAGCCAGAGGCACAGCTCCCCAGGGGTCACGGCCCACCCAGGAGGGGCATCCCCGACACAGAA